ACACAAACTGTAAATTCAGAACTCGGAGGACTTCCTGCACATGTATTATCTGCTATTGAGAAAAGGGTACATTTTTTTTTTAAGTTCATAGATGCCCATGAAAACTACAGGCCGTGGAGGTAACAATTATGCAAAATGTCCATGAAGTGTGTTCTCAAGATGTATATTTTGAAAATTTAGGGTTAATGATTATATACTATCCGCATGTCAGAGAAAATCATGACAATTAAGATAAATTAATTAAGAGAAGTGAGCAGTGAGTTTGCTATAATGTTTGAGTCATTGTTCAAACATTTTCCCTTCTTCTTAACCAAACTAGACTTAAGATGCCTTGAGACAAGAAAATTACAACGAATATGAAAATTGTGTCATGTTCTGAGACACTGAAAATCAAAGAAGGGAAGCAAGGCACATGTTCAAGTTGGCAAGAAACTAGAAATCTGCAAATCCAGATAATTATGAGAATTTGTAAAGCTGCAGCTAACATGCATAGCTTGTAAGGGAGAGAAAAGGAAAAATAGCTTGCCGTGCTGCAATTAAGCACATGGGACATCTTTTGAGGAACACTTAAATGATCCACCATTATATATGGCTTGTAAGGTTAACGTGTATTGCTGCCATGTCAAAAGTTAGTTACAAGTATACAATAGTCAAACTCTATTGTCCAATATGAATGTCGAATAACAAGAGAAAGCTTTTGTAGAAATTCTAGATGTCAACATTTGACATCTAACATATGCGATGCCTATTCTTACATACTAACACTTACCCAAATATGCTCATCATGGTCAACGAGTACAGACAATTCTATCAAGCTTTCCATTTGAAGTTTGTTAGGTAATTCACACTCTGCCATATCTTGCTTTAGCATGATCAATTGATGACTGTTGACTAAACATATTGCAGCCATCAAAACATCTTGCAGCACCTTGATGACTGTTGACTAAATCTGTACATTTCAAACTCAAATGCATGACAAATTAGAACTCTAAGATGCATTTATTGTTGGTAAATGTGTAATGATGCGTGATTTCGATAATACTCATCAATATAAATATATTGATACACAGCTATAAAGACAAATAAACATCTTTCTATCTTAGCTATCATAGCAATTGAGGTATTTAGTGCCTATTTTGCCATGAATGTAGTAAGTTTGTTGTTAAAGAAATATCGAAAAAAGCAATCGCTTTTTCAGCACACCACTACTACAACACATGGAACATAGGGAAAAACAGCTGGTATGTTTACCTGCAAATATTATCTATGTCTCTTAATAGGGTTGCTTGATCCAAGGAGCTTTTCATTTACAGCCCCTCTGAAGTTTCCCATCCAAACTAAAGTTATTTCCACATAGTTAGCTATTGTATGAATTTGTCAACTGAAACTCAGCTTCTTCCATTAAGCTCTGCCCTGGAGCCTTATTCACACTCATCCTCCTCATCAATCTCCGCACCTCCCCTGCCTCCTCCCACCGCTCTGTTTCCGCATAAAGATTGGCCAACAACACATAGTTCCCCGAGTTCCATGGTTCAAGATTGATAAGCTCCTTCAGAGCCACCTCAGCAATGCCAAGCCCAGCATGAGCACGACATGCACTTAAAAGTGCTCCCCATATGGTAGCATTAGGCTTCATTGGCATCCCCTGAATCAGTACGTGCGCCTCCTCAAGGAGACCAGACCTTCCAAATAAATCCACCATACACCCATAATGCTCAATTGCTGGTTCAATGCCATGCTCCGACAGCATGCTCTGGAAGATCTCCCGCCCAATATCCACTGCCCCAGCATGCGCACAGCATCCAAGCACTGCTAAGAATGTCACAGCATTAGGCTCCACTCCATGCCTCCTCATCTCCTGGAACAGATCAATCCCCTCAACTCCGTGACCATTCAATGAGAATCCACTGATCATGGTGTTCCAGCTCACCACACTGTGCTGCAGCGTCGTCATAAACACCTTCCGTGCACTATCAACATCACCGCACTTGCAATACATATCCATCACTGCATTTGCAACATGCACTGTACTGTCCAACAAGCCAGTCTTCTTCGCATACTCATGCGCCCACCTCCCTGCCCCAACATTCCCCGTCCTCCCACAAGCCGGGAGCACCACAACCAAGGTCCCATCATCTGGCGCCACCTCTCCTTCCCTGACCATCCTCTCGAAACACTGGACTGCCATGTCATCTCGTCCATGGCGTACACACCCAGTGATCATAAGGTTCCAGGAAACGACGCTCCTCCTGGATCGCCTGTGACACTGCATTTCGTCGAACAGGTGGCGTGCAGCGCGGATGTCCCTGGCCTTGAAGCACGCTGTGATGAGGGTGTTGTAGGCGATGGTGCACTTGTTCTTTTGGGGCATATCGTCGAACAAGGCGCGGACGTGCAGCAACGGGTAGGGCTTGACGAGAGCGAGGGAGATGGCGTGGTGAGAGAGGAAGCCGAGGCGGAGGAGGATCGAGTGCAGCGCGGAGAGGAGCGGCAAGGAGGAGGAGGCGCAACCGAGGAGGGGCAGGAAGGTCAGGCGGTCAGGCGCGTGGAATCGGCGGAGGGTGGAGAGGAGACGGAAGGCATCGTCCGGCGAGGAGGAGGCGGAGAGGGCCTTGACGGCGGCGTTGAGGAGCGTCAGCGGGGGTGGGGGATCGGGAGGGAGGAGGCGGAGGAGCGGCAGCGTGGGCGGCGGAGGGGAGGAGAGGAGCAGCAGCGCCGCGAGGGCGTGGTGGTGCGGCGACGCGGGAGAGCAGGGGAGCGCGCGGCGGACGGCGAACGCGAGGAGCTCGAGCGGGCGGCCGCGGGCGACGGGGCAGTGGTGGAGGAGGTGAAGCAGTCGGCGCTCCGCCGTGCGCGGGTGCCACCCGTCTGGGGTGGTGATGGCGGGGGCGAAGGACGGCGGAGGCGAGGGATCGCCGGCGGCGGGCGGCATCGGCGAGAGCGAGGCGGCTGGCAATGGCCGTTTCCAATGGCGCGGGCAAACGGTGGTCGGTGGTATGAAGGGCAAGCCCACTGGGCTTAAGGCCTCTTTTGTGCTGTTTCTATTCCCATTCTTTTTTCGAACGCTCACATCATTCAGACACCCGGCCATCTTAAAAAAAGTGAGCCGGTACAGTAAATCTAAAATTGATGAAAGTACAGGTGCCTCACTGTTGAAGCATAGCTTTGTACTGGCAAAACGTTTTGTTAGGAGTAATTCAAAAGAGGAATTGAGAGTTCGACTTAGGAGTTTAAAAATCTTCTTTGTTCTGTATTCTTCCCGTTCCAAATTACAAAACGTTTTGGCTTTTTTAAATACATTGCTTTTATTGTAGATCTAGACATAGTGTATACCTAAGTGCATAGTAAAAGTTATGAATCTAAGAAAAAAAAGATAAAAGTCTTATAATTTGAAAAGTTGCCAAATAATGCATCCTAGTATAACACAAGCGTAGGTCGAAAGCTTGAATCCAAGTTGGTAAATTCCATAACAAATAACCGGCTGAGCTATGGTCAGTTCATGCAATTTTGGGCTTTCTATTGTCACTCGCAAAAACACAAAAACATTAGAAATAATGACATATATTCCCAAATTTGAGGTGATATTCTAATGCAGAAAATGTCCTGAATATTGATAAATACTTAACATGGTTATGTATATCCATACAAGTAGTAATTCATGAACACCCTAAAAATGTGCTTAACAGTTGTCCAGTTGAAAAGAATGCCATGCAAACAATGGTATATATGAGATTTACGGCTTCAAATTTGGTTCCAGGCAGTGCGCGGAACTAGCAGGCAGCAAGAATGACACTATTCCACAACCCAAGTCTATGCCAGTGCGATGTCATGATTCATGGTACAGAACTGCCACATCGATCCGCAACAAAGTACTTCCTCCGTCCTAAATTATAAGACGTTTTGGCATTTCTAGATTCATAATATTTTTTTTGAATTACACAAGTATAGACGCAGACGCTCAACACGCACGCACGCACACTCACCCCTATGAACACACGTACGTAAACCCAACCCCTATGAGCACCTCCGAAAGACTGTGCCGGCATATCTCGAGATTGACGAAGTCACCACAGACGCCTCGCTGTCGACGGGAACGTTGCCTATCACGCAAAGCATAACGCCGTTAAATCCTAGAATAAATCCAGAAAAATACGAACACTCGTGCCAAGTCGAGGACTTGAACCCGGGTGGGTAGATTCCACCACAAGGAACCTAACCAACTGAGTTAGGCTCAGTTCGCCTAGATTCATAATATTTACTATGTATCTGACATAACATGTATCTAGATGCATAGCAAAAGTTATGAATTCAGAAAAGGCAAAGCGTCTTATAATTTAGAACCGATTGGAGTAGAAGATAATGCACACCCGAGAGAAACAATTGATGACAGAAGGCCAGTACTACAAGAGTGTGGTTTGCTGTTATTGTTACAAGCATATACAAATACAATGTGGTTTGTTGTTCACATATCACCTACATAACAAAGAACACACTTATTCAGAAGAAGGGTACGAACGCACAATCTGGTTCTGCAAACGAAACACAGCAATGCCAGCCACAAATCACTTATTCAAACACATTAATAAGTTCGAGGTCCAGAACAAAGGTGCGCAAGATTATAAATACACTACTCCCAGTGATTTGTATAAGAAGTGGTTTCAAGGCATAGCTAACTAATGCCCAAAGACAATAATATATGATGAAACAACACAAGGGAATTAAAACAATAGTGTGTGATCAGCATCAAAGTGGGGGTGCTGGTGGACCGAAGATGAGAGCACACAATAACGAACCAACTGTGCACTGTAGGGAAATAAAATTGTTATTGTTACTGAGGTGCAGAAGGGTAGGTCGGAGAGGTAGAATTGGGGGAAGGAAGGAGGAAGCACTAGCACGGGAGTAGGAGGTAGGAGGAATGATTAACAGAATTCAGTTATGCGATTACAGAGTTCATGTCCTATGTTCTCACGCTCTCTAGCTTATTAAGTACTCCTCTCTCTCTAGCGGCTCCACATTGGGCCTGTGACGAGCGTGTTGGGCCTTCGCATCCTGACAGCACGGGACTCGCGGCTTCTACCAAAGATCATGAAGTCGGGTGTGGGGCTGAGAGCAAATAGACCTCCTGGCTCGAAATATTCCAGCGCATACTGTTGGTTGTCGAGCATTTTGCCTCCCCCAATCTGAACCCCGTCCTGCTTCTTCTTGATCACGACCCCCTCGTCGTCCATTTGCACTTGCACGCCATACTGGATCGAGAGCTGGCCAACGGAGACAAGGTTCATCCGTGAGTCGGGAGCAAGCAGTACGCCGTCGAGCTTGATCTTATAGTTGCTCAAGTAGCCAGATGTTTTGACCTCGATAGACCCACTAATCCCTCCGAAACACCGCGTCGGTGGCTCGGTATGATCCTTTAGATCCTCGGGGTAGGGAATTAGAATCCCTCCATCCCATGTCGTGTGGAAGGATGCACCCGAGTCCACTAGAAATTCTTCCCGGCGTGCTGCGTTTGTCGACGAAGCAGGAAAGGCTCCAGCGGGAAGATGGTACCCAGTCGGGTCCGTAGTCCTGCAGACACATATACATATATCACAAACTTATCAAGAACACATTCCTTATATATATCTTTGAGATATAGTGCAGCAGGTACATACGCATCAAATCGTGATAGCCCAAACAATCGCTTGTTATGCTCTTGATGAGATAATTCTTGGAGATAAGGCCCCAATATTTCTTCTTCTTTACAGATTGTGCTCATCCATGTTTTAAAAAGTTGGAAGCTCAAAATAAACAGAACCCAGAACCCAGCTACTAGACTGTGAAAATCCACAGGCAAGATTGTTACTCCTGCCCCCCAGCCTGTATACGGTTGCAATATGCAAGCTGCAATGCACAATATGGAAACAATCCACCATATGCAATCTACAATAATCCACAATCCAGTAAGTTCAAAGCAAATAGAGATTTATAATGAAATGAATATTTTGTACAATGCAGTAGTTAAGTTCGTACCTAATCTTGACATGCCAAACAAGCCTGTGTGCAATCGAGACGATAATTGTCCAGAATTTTGTCCTCCTCTTTTCTCATCATCTTCCTTTTCCCCTTTGCCATTTATTTCTCCAATCTCCTTGATGTCATCTTCATCATTATCATCCATTTCTTCAATCTCTTTTTCGTCCCCGCCCTCCCCCTCCTCATTTATTTCGTTAATATCTCCTCTGGCGGCTCCACTTCCACTGCTTTCTTCCTGGTTTCTAGCTCTGGTCCCTCCTTCTCCCCTACCATCTCTTCCACCTCCTCCACACCCTTCAGCTGTGCTATCACCATCTCCATTACCTCCACCACCTCCATCTGCTCCATCATGGTGACAGGGGCGAAGCCAGTGATGAAATGACCCTGGTGCACAACTCAAATAGCATATATAATTTTCTTACAATATATGGTAATTTTGGAACTGTGTAGTGGTAAAACATTTTCGTACCCTGGTGCCTGGGCACCAGGCAAGCTGTACCTGGCGTCACCCCTGCATGGCGATCGCCTCCACTTGCTCCTCCGTCTCTTATATGCTGTGCATATGAAAAAATAGAATCAATAGATTGAAGCCTACTCCACGCACTACTGGATAGATGGATGTAAATCAACACTAAATGTGCTCACAGGATACTCAGGGTCGTTCGAGAAGAGATGATCGAGGTGTGTGTATATACTCACTTGGCCGACGATGTGTAGAGAATCCAGTATGTACATGCCGTTGCGTAAGCGACCCTTGCCAACGATCTTCCCGGTATTCTTCTCCTTGACGCGGCAAGCCGTCGGCTCAAAGACAGTGACCAGTCCATGATCACGAGCGAGCTGAGACACCGACACAACATTCCTTGTGTCGTCCCCAACAACATAGTGGACGCCTGGGAAGTCAAAGCAGTCCGTCCGTACAGACCCGCGCCCCTGGACATGCGGGGCGGTGGTGTCATCCCCGCTCGACGGAGCATCTTTGTTGTCCAGCTCCTGAGACTGGAAGTAGCCGCCTTCAAGCAGCAGCGCCAGGTTGGAGGTATGGTGGTACCACGCACCGGAGTCCATAACCCATTCGTGGGGCCCCCACTTCACGAGCCTGCCGCCATGCCCATGCATGCATGCGCGACAGAAATTCATGATCCTATGGGGCCCCCACTTCAGGAGTCCTGTGGGGCCCCCACTTCAGGAGCCTGCCGCCATGCCCGTGCATGCATGCGCGATAGAAATTCATGATCCTGTGACAAAACTAAAATATAAGACCCTACAAGAGGCCATCGAAAGATTTTCTATTGTTTATAAGTACATAAATTATAAGATGGGGAAGATAATTTCTAAGAGTTTAAAGTAGGTAAAAGCAGAAATAGAGTACGATTACTGTATTGCTCTCGATGTTATCATTACGTATACGCATATGACAAATTAATGGCATGTAGTATTTAAGGTAAATAAAAGAATAAGCATTATTTGTCATACTAAGGTGCGAAGCATATTTGTGATTAATTGTTTGCACCAGTCTTTGCATGCATTAAGACTTATGCAGTCAGCGGCGGATCCAGGAAATATTTTAGGGGGGTCTGAACAACACTGCTGCTCGATCTTAAGTCTCAGCCCCCCTACACTATAGAACTCTGCCTAAAAATTCATATGGGTTCTACAGTAATTTGCACTGTTTTGGGATGGGTAGGGGGCTTGAGCCCCCCCCCCTTCTTTGGATCCGCCTGTATGCAGTACAATCCGAAGCAGCATAAACACATGCAATGCGTTGGCTTTTAGTTGTCTTGCACATGCAATCTGTGTTTAGTCGTTTAGTGACATTGTTTGTGGTTGCTCACAGTGTGTTGCATTTTTTATCACCTCCATATGGCTCCATGTATCAATAGAAACAGGGAATGTGAGGATATTCCATTTTGTTGGCACCAATGAGCTTGAGTATCTAATAACATAAAATCTGACATACTAGCTAAGGGCGTCCTCAACAAGCAAAAGCAAATCGCCGGCTGATAGAAATTTAAAAAAAAAAGGAAAAAATGTGAGCCCCACAGCAAGGCAAGAGTGGGTCTCGGTCAACAGAGAGAGTAGATTTATAGGGACCTGTGCGAGCTAGGCGAGGAACTTGTCGCTAGCTATTTAGTTTTTGACGTTCTCTTTCCTCCACGTAATCAAATGGCTAGCAAAAAGTTTCTTGTTGGAGACGTCCTAATGTAGTATTTGGTCTACTTTTAGCACAACATTGGTTTATATAGGATTGTACGGACAACCAAACAAAGATAAAAAAACACCTCAAAAGCTTTACAGACTAATATAGCCAACCAAATGTATGTATTGTGCATGTGTATAGTTTGTACGTGGATGTCCATACCTGTGGACGGTTTGTACCCGCCCTAGCAGTTGCGGTAGCAGCACCTCCAGCGCCAGCGCCACCGCCATCTGGTGCAGCAACCAAATAGGAAACATAATACTCCCCAGCAGCACCAGCCCATACAGCGCCCCCAGCAGCCCCACCCACCGAACTGCATCATCCGGAGACAGGAGCATCATTATCAGCTTCAGCGCCAGCGCCAGCGGCACCAGCCACGAAGGCAGCAGCCCCACCAGCACCAGCACCAGCACCAGCACCAGCACTAGCCCAGCAATGGACACCACCCGCCGAACTGCATCATCCCGAGACACGAGCATCCTTATCAGCTCCAGCATCTGCGCCACCTCCAGCATCAGCACCAGCGCCATCAGCCACAAAGACCCTAGCTCCACCTGCATCAGCACCAGCACCAGCACCAGCACCAGCACCAGCACTAGCCCAGAAATGGACCCCAGCTGCCGAACTGCATCATACACGAGCATATATATACCACTCTTGGCGGTTTTGGCTTGGGATGATTTGTCTTCCAATTCCGGTGGTTGTGATGACGACACACCATCTTCTTCTGACAGCTTAGCAGCTTGCATAGACGTCCTGCGTACGCGTTGATGCAGCCTGGATCCCTGGTCTTGAGCCCACAACCCAGTGGAACTCATGGTGAAGTCCGCGCAAGACTTGAAGCTAGGAGGATGCTGCGGCGTTGATGCAGGGCAATCGTTCAGACCCGCTGCAACATCCTAGTCTTACGCCCAGGACCCTGGTCGGCACAGCTTCAGAATTCCTGCGTACGCGTTGATGCAAGCACCTGAAATAATCATCAACCAAAGTACGATACAAAGCTAATAAGTCGTCAGTGTCACAGTGTGTGTGGGTGGAGGATTACCATCTGACCACACACACACAAAAGAAGAAAAAGAAAGGGGAAAAAGGGAGACTTGGATGCCGTATGTGATGAACACTCCTCAACTTTCTGTGAAACTCGATTAAGAAAACATCTAAAAGCCGGACTAGTACAAAATCCAATCTTTTTTTTTTACCACAGCGTCGTGGACGGGATTCGATCAGGCAGCAGTCAAGACGGGTCTGTCTGCTCGCCCCGCGGCACCTCCCCCCTAGCAACCTGAGGCTGACCTGCAAGGGCGGCTCAGCAGTCACCTGGCCGCTCGCCCGAGCAGCCCAACCCACGGCGGCCAAGAGGACTAGAGGAGAGTGCATGGGCGCAAACACAACGCAACGGCGGCCATGGCCCAACAAAGCCACCGCCAACTATCTTAACCAAGCAAGCGGATCCCTCTACACTATCGGACGCTACGCGGGAAGGTGGTAGTCATCACTCACCAATGCAAGAGATCGAGAGAACGGCCGGCAGACGACGACCAAAGTGCGCCCCCACTACGGCCTTTGGTTGGGCCCCACAGGTCCGCGTGAGACTAAAGCCACAAGTCCGTGTCAGACATGCCGGACACAGCTGCACAAGTCCTCCAAACGAGACCAACAAACAGGGCGTTTCTTCCTAGAGCCCAAACAAACAGGGGCGTTTCTTCCTAGGATGTTGCCTCGGGTAATAAAAAATAATAGTACTATAGCGCGGGATAACGGAGCCGGTGAAATGGGCCGTGGCGCGAAAGGCTTACCTGACTTTGGGCTACATGTTGCGTTGGTTCACCGCCGTAGACTCTAACATGCGGGCCCATTAGATATTAGTCTAGCCGCGGCCTGCGTGGGCTATCTAAACTCTGAAAGTGTGCACAATTGCACCTCTGCACATCCACACCTCTTGCAAACCATCTATCTTGGTTATATTATGCCAAAGACACAATCAGAGCATGAGCTTTCCTATGTAAACAATTTCAAACACCAATCATCCGCCTACATACATTCTGTACATTATTCAAATTCACAACACATCTCGTCTCAAGTTCTCTCACAAGACAGACATCAGTGTCTCCATACATAGACCTAAGTTAAGCTCCGAGTTTGTAGCCACCAGCTACGTCGTGGCGAGCATCACAAAAAGGGAAAGCCTTCATCAGTCACAGGTCGAGCTTGCTGGAGAGATACCAGGAGTGCATGGCCAGGCAGCCGAAGGCCATGATGATGTTGGCCAGAGACGACAGCCCGTGGATCATCCCAAACTTCCGGTTCATGGCTGCAAGGGCGGGGCTCCTCTTCATCATCATCTGCGATACTGAAGGTAGAAAGAGTAGTAGTGCTTAACCAACCAAAAGATATCTCTGTGTCCGACCCTAGCTAGTACTTGTCTACTTGAATAGTACAATGAGTTGTGCTCGATGCAGATTTCAGCGATCCAGTCAAGATAACTCATTTGTCAAGTTTGTCATCTAAAAGCACAGAAAGAGTTGCATTGTAAATTCATGACAATCAGATATTCTGAAGGTTCATACGCATGGCCAGACATACCTCTGTGCTTCTAAATAAAAAAGCTAGATTCTGGCCTCCCAAATCCCAACACTGGATTGCTCACTAAAAAACAAAACATAGTGGACCCTGTTTGAAAAGGAAAAAAGAAAAAGAAAATGGCAGGGAAATCAAAGTGTCAACAAGCTGAGTGCAATTCTGCAAAACCCATCTTGGTGGTGCGAAGATTGCAAAGACATTTGTTGGAAATGGCGAACATCCAAATTTCTGTGATTAGACAGTTTGTCTATTCCTGATTCCCAAAAAGAAAACAAAAACAAATCTATACGTTCCTGTATGCGCCACAACGATTTAGTACTCAGAAATTGCAGTCATGACCTATATAACAATATAAACCTTCATCAAAGTGTCTTCCCTTTTCGTTACCTCAAAAACAAGTATAGTAAATCTCGAAATTGCAAATGAACCGTAAAAAATATGCACTCATTAGTCCTGAGATTACTGCATACCCAAACTATAATACAGTGTGTCATTTGGCAAAAGCAAACAGAGGTAAATAAAAAGCTGAAGATCATGAATAAAGTATATCACCTCAACGGTCATGGATGTGAAGACCAAAAGCTTGGACAGGTTACAGCCAAGGGCTGAAATAAGGAATCCAAGCTGGTAGCGCTCGATGGTTGATGCTGTCTTTCAGGGGTACAGGTACGCGAATGCTGCCACGGATATCGCTGAACATACTGATATCAACATGAAGTATGCTGGGAACATTTTCCCCTGCAGACTCCCAAACTGGTGTCTCGGCAAGTACCTTCCGAGTTCAAGAAGGATTTTATCAAAACATCATCAAGGTTTACACTATGTTCTAGTAAGGGAATAACTGAACCGCTCATGGTGCTATTGCAACAAGAACATATATGCTAGACTTTACTTTTCCGCTGGACTTCTTAGTTCTCACTATAACAAAGTGTTATATCAGCACTGTGTAAAAATTTATTGAAGGATATTTTAACAGCTGAGCAAAAGGAATTGCTTCTGGACTCTAAGACTGCACTGTATATTACTCAAAAATCCTAATATGTAAGCAACAAATAAGAAAACCACTCCACTTCCTTGAAAAAGGCAGCGATAGAGGCTGAACTTTCAGAATGTTTAATGAGAAAACGTCTGAACTTTCAGAATGTTTAATGAGAAAACGATGGAGGCTGAACTTTCAGAATGTTTAATGGAGTACACAAGCTTATAGTCTTATACCTAAGAGTAAGAGCTGTCTCGATATGACATAAGAGTACTCCAGGCATCCCAATTCTCCTTCCCAACATATCTTCAAGGTGCAAGTCCTATTTTTGCAGTGTGATTTTTCAGGACTAATAGTTACCAAACTAAGACGCTGATCCAGTGAATTCGCGAGGAGCAAAGACCCATGCAACTAGAAGTCATATAATTCTAAACAAAGATTCCTGCTGCTTCTCATCTTACATCCATAGTTCAAAATCAGCATCTGAAAGACTGAGTTTCCCTCAATGTTCTTCCAAGAATGTGTGCTGTGCACTGAAAATATGAAATTGATTTTGAATCGCTGCTGACAGCAGCAGCACATCAAAATCAGGGGCTTATCTTGGATTTTGAGGCTTCGGTGAAGTACTGAAGTGGCATCGGCAAGGAAGACAGGTGGAACGCATCTCTCCCCGTCTCCCAACCTTCCTCTGACTACGGTGCGAGTGCTGTGGCCGGTGGGTGGTGAAGACTCGGCGCTCCGAGCACGGTGAAGCCGATGCCGGAGAGGGAGGGACGACACGGAGTGGCCGTGGAGGGGAAGAAGACGTCCCAGTCCGCCGGAAGCCATCGCCGACTCGCCGTCGCCGCCGTGGTTTTGCATATAAGCCCCTGATTTACAGAAAAGCCCCTAGTGTTTTGGACTTAACCTCTCGCCGTCGCTGGATCGCGGCGCCTGGCGGGCGGCTGGGCGAATCCTGGAGCACGCAGACGGCGAGGTAGAGGAGGGATCGGCGCGGGAGTGATGCTTCGCTTCCTCCTCGAATGAAGCTAGCAGGCAACAAAACCCCAAGTCCCAGCGAATCGACGAGGCGGCGTTTGCTTAGTGCGCTTTGCTTACTTGAACATGACGATGCCGCCGACGAAGGTGACCCAGAGCCCGGCGCCCCAGGCGGTGGCGAAGGCGAGGACGTGGACCAGCCTCGCGGCCGCCGCGGCGCCGGCGCCCAGCGCGTCGGGCGCGAAGAGGACCCCCGCGGCCAGGAACGACACCGCCGTCAGGAACCGCGCCGCCCACCCCATCGCGTGCCGCTGCCCTCTAAGCGAGCTCCGGACGGGTGCCGCCTGGCCTGGGAGTGGAGACTGGAGAACGGGGAGGACGGCGGCGGTGAGGTGAGGTCGCGCGTGGGAGCTCTGATTTTGAAGGACGGCCGGCTTCGTTGACCGTTGACGGCCCAGAACAGAAACAATATGCCTGTTCTTTTTTTTCCCCCTCCAAGACAAACACGTGACGATGACATCCTTTGTTTCTGTATCAGATAAATATAAATAGTACTAGTATATTGTTTGCATTGTCTTGCTTGACAAATCAAATCAAATCAAATCAGGCCTTGTTTAGATTGCAAGTTTTTTCACTCTCTCTCCATCACATTAAATCTTTGACACATATATGAAGTATTAAATGTAGAAAAAAAATAACCAATTACACAGTTTAATTGTAAATTACGAGACGAATCTTTTGAGCCTAGTTAGGCCATGATTGGATAATATTTGTCAAATACAAACGAACGTGCTACAGTGTCAAATACTGATTCCTAACCCCAATCTAAAGGATGCCTCATTCTATTTTAAGCCAGATTCCTCAGAAACTTCAGAGTGCCGGTCATCAGTAAAGAAGACTTTTTTTTCTTTCTTTTCGATCGATCAGCGAAGAAGACCTGAGACTTGAGAGAAACAACTGATGAATTTTGGTGGAGTCACGGAGCCCAACAAATCCATGGGCGTGACCGCGTGAACCGTGGAGAGATTCTCTCGCAAGCACAAGCTGTGTGCACCAAAATCTGTGGGCAGTGGGGCCAAGAGGCCAAGAGGACCAAAGAAACTACTGTTCGAGATCAAGAATGCATACAACTTTGGTGTCGTTTGAATCCCAAAGAGATTTTAAGAATTTTGGATTCTTGCTAGGGATTTTAGAATCCAGATATTATAGATAACTGGGTATCCATATACTGACCATTGTTGACTATGGTGAATGTCAAGGTGCGTAAAAAGCTTACAACTCATTCGCAAAAAGAAAAAGGCTTAGAATTTTGGACATGACTTGATTGAGCTCTGTCCATGTTCTGTCTGCATCGGTTCGTTGAAGCCATAGCCACTGTGTCTATGGGGCGATCCTAGGGAGCCTAAGATTGGTGACGTCGAGTCCACCTAGCTAGCTCCTTTGGTCGGCAACCGTAGTCCATGCCACCGTACATTTGCCTTGGACTCAACCTTCCTTGCTCATCTAGAGGAACAGGCGGTGGATTGCATCCGTTTAATTTCCATGTGGATCTAGAGAGGTAATTGTCAGTGAGCAAGGTGTATATTTGTGCTATGGAGAGAGGACTGATTTCACCCAGACCTAGCTCCTCACCATAATAAGCTTCCACGTGACTGCATCTATCGATGCATGCAAATGTGTTGTGGGGATTGCCCTTGAGCTCAGCGGCAAGCCAAGGTTAGTGAATGGGGAAATCTGAGATTTAGCTAACCATATATATCTGATGCCTAGTAGATTGTCCTCACTTCTAAAGATCAAGGTCACTGAACACTTGCCAAGGTTGGCTCATAACCCAGAAGAGTCTCCAAAAATGTGGAGTATGTCCTTGATCGCCGATGCTAATTGTGAATGACATCATCTGCATATAGGTTGCACTGATGTTTGACTCCCTTCGCTTCCATGCCCCTTTGACACCCTATCTGATCTCGCCTCGGCGAACAATCTAGTGAGCACTTGCATAGACAACATGAAAAGCATCGGTGACAGGGAGTCGCCCTAGCGCACTCATATCTTTGTGCGTGATAGGCGACACAACGCTTTTGAATTTTGATATGCATGTGTAATTCAGATATCTAGACATAGGGTGCAAGTCATTACACATCTCCAGTAATTCACAAGAAAAAAATATGTATAGAAAATAGAAAAGGTTCAACAAATAAAATCTATAGTTATATGATGTTGCTTTGATGCATTACGGTGGCCACGCCAGACACTATCTCGTTGGGCTTTATCCAGTGCCACTATAGTATTATGTCTACAGATTGGGGTTAAATAATACAAGTCTCAGGTTATCAAACCCTAAACTGCTAATAATCTTTGACATGTTCTTGTGTTACTTTTCCAGAGTAAGTGCATAAGAAATATGGCAACATCATGAGAAGGGGTGGCGAGTCAGTTTCTGATAGACATCCTGCATTTCTGGTCTTGAGCGAGGAGAAGTTTGCATGCAAGCAAATGCCAATTGGACAAGCAAAGCGATTTCTTCTACCTCCTCCATTGTTGGCAATGGTGTTCGCTGGTCCAACATTTCCATTGCAATCTCAATGGAAGGAAGGGTCTGAAGTTCCCTAGGGTATCTTCCCATCACAATCTCAAGCACAACTACACCAAAGCTGTAGACATCGCACTTTGTTGTCACCACTGATGTGTATGAAAGCTCTACATAAAAAAAATAAAAGAATTAGAGTCAAGTAAAGAATAATATAGAAAAAACTCATAAATCTACAATTATTTACACCTAACTGTTAAAATAATTACAAATTATGGGAGTAGTTTCATATATAGAACCATACTACTTTTTCTTACCCTAGTAATGCAAAAGGACAACTTTCTATTGTGAAACGTTGAGTAAAAGTTGTAGTTGTATGCAAACTTGTAGTAATGGCACCAAACTAAAAAGGTAGCTGTAGTAGTATGAAACTAATTCCATATGTTACAGTCTTCTAATAAATTTTAGGTACCAATATATAGTCACAGTTTTGTGAAGCTTATTTCTAACAAGTATGCAACATGCAAGTAGAATTAAAGCAAGCCACATACCTGGGGCTATATAACCATATGTCCCTGCTAATTCACTCCAATTCGATGAATCAGGTTTTATAATCCTTGCTGTGCCAAAATCTGAAACACAAGCTTTGAAATGTGCATCGATCAATATGTTGCTACTTGTAATGTCACGGTGGATTATTGGCGGGTTGCATTCATGGTGCAAATAGTACATAGCTTGAGCCACGTCTCTAGCAATGGCAACTCGCCTCTGCCAGTTCAATTCCTTTGCTAGCTCCTCGTTCTCCAAGGTTGCATGAAGACTTCCTCTATCAATGTAATCATAAACTAGAAATCTGTACAACTGATGGGAGCAATACCCATATAGCTTAACGATGCTTCGGTGCCGTATCTTTGTCAACACCTCGATTTCGCTTATGAATCTCTTTTCATCATTCATATTGTCTTCTTCAGTTTTATGAAGCCTTTTTACTGCAACCAGTCTCCCCCCTTGAAGCTGAGCTTTATAGACGGTGCCATACCCACCTGATCCAATGATGTAACTCTCACTGAAATTTTCTGTTGCCCTAATGATATCCTCAAATGCTAGTTTCCCATCGAAATTCCACACTGAAAGCACATCTCTTGTATCTACAGTGGTCGTGTTGTCGTGCGGTCTTTTCTCTTGTGAATAATCATAACAACTCCTAAAAATGTGAGCACAACGACTATGCACAAAGGAATGGAAATAGCTAATGCCAATCTGCGAATTCTTCTGTCATGATGCTCCAAATCCATAGCTGAAGCGCATGTTGGAAGGCCTGAGAGATTGCCACAGAGGCCGTTATTATGGAGGAACCATCCTATGGAGGCATTATGAAATAGTCGCCCTATTGGAAGAGGCCCTTCCAAGTTGTTGTATGACACGTCAAGTGCCGACAAACTAGCCATGTCAGCGAAGGAGGGTGGAATGGTTCCATCGAATTGGTTGTGGGAGAGGTTTAGTACCTCCAGCTTAACTAAGCTCCCGAGCTGCACAGGAAGTGCGCCTGTGAAATTGTTATTGCTCAAATCCAGCACAAGCTGCAGGTTCCCAAGATTACCCAAGGACACCGGCAATTCTCCGCTCAAGCTGTTGTGATTCATAAGCAATGATAGCAGCTCAGTGCAACTCCCAAGCTCCTGCGGTACTGACCCATTTAACTTATTCATAGATATATCGAGAAACTGCAGATTACTCATCTGGCCAAATTCAGGTGGTATATCACCTGAAAATTCGTTTCCCGATAAGCTGAGCATGTACAGGTTGGCTAGGTTGCCTAGTTCTGGTGGTATCTTGCCTGTTAGTTTGTTGCCGTAGAGCATAAGTACCTCTAGCTTCACTAGGTTTGATATTTCAGGTGGCAAGCTTCCCGTTAACATGTTTTTTGCCATAACCAACGTGGTCAAATTAGTGCTTGAACCCCAGGATTTTGACAAATGCCCGTGAAGATTGTTTCCCCAGAAGCTTACTTGAGTGAGGTGTGGATACGGCCCAAAATCTGATATGTCCCCTATAAGCTTGTTAGAAGATAGGTCAAGTCTCTGTAGGGTCCTGCAATTTTGCAGGCCTCTCGGGATAGGGCCAGTGAACATGTTAGAGGCGACGATGAACTCCCAAAGATTATTCCCCCCTTTGCACACATCAGATGGCAATTCGCCCGAGAGGGAGTTGTTGCTCAGATTGATCACATCCAACTGGGTGAGGATAGGATAAAATTCTCGAGGCAGCGGACCTGACAGCTTGTTGTAGAAGAGAAGTAGCTCTCTCATGCCCGTGATGTTGGCAAGGCTAGCAGGAATTGAGCCTGAAATGAGGTTTTGGCATAGATACAAGTCAGTGAGACCCGTCAAATAGCCAATCTCACTAGGGATGGGCCCCACAAACTTGTTATCGCAGAGGTTAATGTAGTTTAGCCAGGTTGCGTTCCCCAAGCTAGGCGGAATCGGGCCTCCTAGCCGGTTTGTATATAGAGATAGCTGGCTTAGGTTTTCCATCAACCCTACCTGCTGGGGGATTGGACCTGTGAGCTGATTGACGGAGAGGTAAAGCAACTGGAGCTGGGTGAGATTTGCCAGCGAGACTGGCATTCCGCCGCTCAAGCGATTCCCGGTGAGCTCAAGATCAACAAGGTTGAGGAGGTTGCCTAGAGAGGATGGAATGGGCCCTGACAGCTGGTTTTCGTAGAGGTGCAGGAGGCGTAGTCTGGTCAGGTTGCCTATGCTATCTGGTATTGCGCCGCTCAACAAGGTGCCGCTGAGCTCCATGGCCTCTAGGTGCGTGAGCTTCCCGAGCTCGTCCGGGATGGTCCCGACCAGCATGTTTTGGAGGACGCTGAGGTCAGTCAGCATGGTCAGGTTCCCGAGGGACGCGGGGATGTAGCCTGTGAGGTTGTTGAGGGCGAGCCACAGCAGCCGGAGGCGTTCCATGCGACCGATCTCCGGTGGTATCTGTCCGTGGAGCGAGTTGCTAGTGAGGTCGAGGTAGGAAAGTGTGGTTAGCGACGTGATGGCTGGGGGGATTCCTCCGGCAAGGCTGTTGTAGCTGAGGTTGATGAACCGGAGGAACGGGAGGGCGGAGAAGTTGAGCTCACCGAGGCTTCCACTGATGCCGGCCTCTGGCAGCGACATGCTGGTGACCGCCGCCAGGGGTGCGCGGCGCCAGCGGTGGCCACCGTGGACGTGGACGACGCTGCAGGCGATGCCCGTCCAGTTGCCGTTGCACGGGCTAGAACCTGGCTGCCATGAGTCCAGTGCGTGCGCCCTGCTGCTGCTTTGCTGCAGGGTCGACTTCCACCGGAGGAGGGCTTCTTTCTGGGACCTTAGAGACGACGACGACAGCTGACCGCCGTGATGCTCCGCGGTGCCGCCCGCGTGCACGACGACGACGAGCAACAAGAGAATGGTTACTAGCCTTAGTGTTAGTGTGCATAGCAACTTCAATAAATTTGTGTGGAGGATCGCCATCGTAGTGTTTAGGATTTACTATACGTGTATTTTGTTGCTAGGGCTGGTTGCATGCACTGGGATATGCTGTGGTGGTGGAGATCGAGTTGGGTTTATGTTTACGTGTGTATATATAGTGATGACTACGTGCTCTATTTGAATGAATTTTGAAACGTATGAAGCACTCTGGTCGCTTTCTTTGATTTGCTCATGGGCGTGGTCGTTGGTTCAGTCTATTCTCAGAGCATTGTTAGGAAGTGTTGTTTCACTTTCACACATAGATCGAGACCGGAAAGGCGAGTCGTGCATGCGTGCTAGAAACGTTGCTCAGTCTACCTCAGTAGCTCTACACATTTTTCCAATTCAAAAGGCACACAGGAAATATAGAATAATGCAATCTGCCGAAAGAACAACCATGCATGGGAGCTGGGGACCTACTCTGTCCGTGGTTTCGTTTTAAATTATAAATCGTTTTAGTTTTTTTAAATATATTGTTTTTAATATATTTTAGACATAATGTATACTTAGATACGTACAGCAAAATAATATACCTAAAAAATTAAAACAATTTATAATTTAAAATAGAGAGAGTAGCTAGCTATCAGCCCTATCAAAAATGGTGTGCAAGTACATGTACGGACATGAGCGTAATATAGGAGGGCTGGTTAAATACACCAACTGTATATCAAACTGTCATATACTACTACTAATTAAGCAATTGGAGATTTCTCTAGAATTTCCATGTTAACGCTTACGAGCAGGGGTGGAGCTTAGTTGGGGCAAAAGGGGCCCTGGCCACCCCTGCCATCAGTAATTCTCCATTAAATAAACGGTAACATGGCTATTGTTCATACATTTTTAGTCAAATTTAATGAGGCCGCCCTCAAGCTTCGCCACTGCTTACTAGAAGCAAGTAAATCCTAGAAATTCTAAAAAAGATCATCAATTTGGTGGACTGTAATCATTCATCGACAACTTTTTTTAAAAAAGTTACCTATCTCCATTTTGGAAAAAGCTTACGCATCGGAATCATCCACTAGTGTCACGATAAGGTTTGCCAGCCTTGCCTGAGAAGTGAGAAGTCAGGCTGCACAGTGTGGGAGTGCGCAAGTGTCACGATAAGGAGTGGCTCTTCTTTCTTCTGAGAAAACTTTGCGGGCATCAGGCGGTGGTGGTTATGGTCAATTGATATGATTGAACAACTGGAAAGTACTTGACGAAGACTAGTGTTACGTCATACACGTTGCTGCCGATTTTTTATTTTTTTTAACAATGCAGTCGTCACACGTACAAAGGCAGCAGAACACTAATTAGTGACCGGTCCATCCAGCAGAAGAAATCAAAATGCGATGTGAAGCCAACGTGGGATGAAAACTACGTAGGTTCAAATCGCCAGGCGTGCGGCGGCGCGGGCCACTGCTGGGTGCTGTGCCGGCCTGAGGGCTTCGCCAGTGGCGGCAGCGGTGGCCCAGGGCGGCTCCCTTGCCCCGGCGTCCGGATCTGCGGGTGCTGCGATGGGCCGCGCCTGGGCGGGCACTGGACGGCGCCCACGGTGGCGGCGGCGGCTCTAGGCCTAGGCGCCGGGAACGGTGCTGGATCTGCAGGGTGCATCCACAGCAGCGGGCGCCACGCCTTGGGATGCGTGCAGAGGCGACTATGTTGGCCAAGGGCGTCGAGGGCGGGGCTCTTCCTCGTGCTCGGCGGTGGTGGCGGCGTGAGCAGCAGCGAGCCGCGTGGGGCTCGGCGGGGCCGCCCGCTGTGGTTGCGGCGGCCGGCCAGTGCCCGTGCAGGCATTGGGGGGCTCTTGTTCTTCCTCCTTCGCTTCCTCCTTTCCTCCTCAACCATGGCAGCGGTTGCGGCGTGGGCCGGGGCCGATGGGTCCTGGGCCCGGGAGAGCGGATCCGGTGCCCTGGAGGCCATTCCGGCGTCCCAGGGAGAGGGCGCCCGCGGTGGTAGCCATGGTGGAGGCAGCGACGCTGGTGGAGGGCACTGGGTCCGGCGTCCTGGTGGCTAGATCCGGCGCCCGCGGTGGTGGGGCATGCGCCTAGCCGAGGTCAGCAGCGGCGACGGCTTCGGTGTGCGGCACTGTGACACGTGCGGCAAGGTTTGGCTGACCCAGCACATTGCCCGATCGGAGGGGCTAGCGGCCGACGCAGCTGTGCGGCTGCTGCCCCTTTAGAGGGGCTTCTGCAGGACGGCAGGGCAACGACGGTGACAATGGCGGCAGGCTAGGGTTCCGGTATCTTGGCATATGGAACTATGTTCATTCGATCGATCTCATATCGGTTTCTGGAACACTTAAAGTTCCCAAATCTATAACCCTTGACTATAGGAGCAAGCGTAGGTTTATTCGCATGCATACTTTATTTCTCTAGAATCTTTTCTAAGTATGCTTTTGCGATAGTGAAAGCTCTAGTTTGGTTTTGGTGAATTGATGAAACCCTAAGTGCTAACCTAGTTTATCAAGTGATCATGAGATAGGTAGCACACTTCAAGTGGTGAAGCAAATGAAGATCATAGCATGATAAAGATGATGGCATTGTGATGATCAAGTGCTTCGACTTGGAAAGAAGAAAGAGAAAAACAAAAAGCTCAAGGCAAAGGTATAATTTGTAAGAGCTATTTTGTTTTGGTGATCAAGACACTTAGAGAGTGTGATCACATTTAGGATTGATAGCCGTACTATTAAGAGGGGTGAAACTCGTATCGGAATGCGGTTATCAAAGTGCCACTAGATGCTCTAACTCATTGCATATGCATTTAGGATCTAGTGGAGTGCTAACACCTTTGAAAATGTTTGAGAAAATATGCTAACACATGTGCACAAGGTGATACACTTGGTGGTTGGCACATTTGATCAAGGGTGGTGAAGTTTAGGTGCAAGGGTAAGAAACTCCACCGGCGGAGTGTCCGCCCGTAGAGTGCGGACAGTCCGACGGTGCCACCAGCGCCCTAGACAGAAAAGACAGAGATCACTGTAAGTGACCGAACGCTGATCTTGTTTGGACCGGCGCGTCCGGTCAGTGGCAGTAGAAGGTGTACGTTTCGGTCTTATGACCGGACGCTGGGTCGCTCTACGACCGGACGCTGGCGGGGTGCGTCCGGTCAGTGCTGACGTACGCTGACGTAGGGCGTACAGAGGAGACGTTGTGTGACCGGACGCTGGCTGTGTCCGGTCAAGCATGACCGGACACGTTCGGTCGGGAAAAATCGCGTTTGGAACCTTACTGGAAACGACCGGACGCTGATGTCCAGCGTCCGGTCACTTTCTAACTGACGCGTCCGGTCAGCAGACGACCGTTGAAATCTGACGAACAGCATTTGAAGCAGGGGACACATGGCGTGAATCACGTGACCGGACGCTGAGGGCCAGCGTCCGGTCGATCGGACCGGAGCGTCCGGTCACCCCGCGTTGTGCCCAGTGAAGGGGTACAACGGCTCTATTTCGTGGGGGCTTCTATTTAAGCCCCATGGCCGGCTCAAGCTCACTCTCTTGGCCATTTTCATTGACATAGCAACCTTGTGAGTTTAGCCAAAGCCCTCCCAGTCATTTCCATCATAGATTAAACATCTTTGTGAGATTGGGAGAAAATCCAAGTGCATTGCTTGAGTGTTTGCATCTAGAGGCACTTGGTGTTCGTGTTTCGCTGCGGATTTCGCTTGTTACTCTTGGTGGTTGCCGCCACCTATACGGCTTGGAGCAGCGAGGATCGTTGAGCGGAGGGTGGTGATTGTCTCTGGCTCCGATCGTGGTGATTGTGAGGGGTTCTTGACCTTTCCCCGGTGGAGCGCCAAAAGGTACTCTAGTGGATTGCTCGTGGCTTATGTGATCCTCATCTTATGTTGGTTGTGCAGCACCCTATTGAGGGTTTGGCGTGTGAAGCCAATTAGCGCGTGAACCTCCAAGTGAGTGAATCACCACAACGAGGACTAGCTTGCCGGCAAGCAAGTGAACCTCGGTAAAAAATCATTGTGTTCATCATTGATTCCGAGGTGATTGGTCTTCATTGTTATCCACACTTGTGATTGATTGGTTCATACATCTACACGGCGGTATAACCTTCTTGCCTACTCATTATATTACCGCAAACTAGTTGTCAAGCTCTTTAGTGTAACTAGTTGTGAGAGCTTGTTAGTTTGGTTAGTGTGGCTCTTTAGTTAGCTTTTGAGAGCACACTAACTTAGTGTAGTGATATAGCTATTGTGTGGATATACTTCATCTAAACTAGAATTGTGGTAGGTGGCTTGTATTTTAGTAGGCTAGCGCATAACTTGCTTCGCCTCATAATTGTCTAATCCTTTAGTTAAGTGTTGTTGTAGAAATTTTATTAGGCTATTCACCTCCCCCCCCCCTCTCTAGCCATTAGGACCTTTTAGATAGTCCTAATACCCCATTTTCTTCTATCTCGGTGAATGTCGATTCCTAAAACCAATGACGCTTCACCAAGATCATTCACATTAAAACTTGAGGACAAAACTTCTTCTCCAATGACAGATTAACATCACTACTAGTGAGTAGAATGTCATCTATTCACAGGATGTGGACAATGAATTTTCCATTCTTGATCTTCGCATAACGCTATTGTCCTTCTCATTTTCTTTAAAACCCAAACTTTCTTATCGTTTCATTAACTTCAAATACTACTGTCTAGAGACTTACTTTTAATCCATAAATGGATTTTTACAGACAGCATCCCATATGTTCTTTTCTTTCACGACAAAACCTTTTGGGTTGTGCCATGTAAACGTTTTCATACAAATCCCCGTTGAGGAATGTTGTCTTTACATCCATCTGATGTATTTTTAAATCGTAATGTGCCATGAACACCATTATAATTCTAAAAAAATCCTTGCATGAGACTAGAGAGAAAACTCTCATTGCAATCTTTTTCATTGTCTATGCGTAAAGCATATTGCTACAAGTCGTGCTTTATATCTTTCTACATTCCCTTTATAAAGCGATTTGTGACAGGGGCCCGCCGACCAGTGGTCGGTTAAGAGTCCCCGATCAGGACACGGTC